AGAACCCAGGCTCTGACCTACTCCACTCATCAGCCATGCTGTGGTGGCCACCCACATACAAAATATAGGAAGACTGGCACAGATGTTAGCTCAGGGCTAATGCTCCTCAAGCAAAACAAGATGCAGATTTTTTAGGCAAATCTCAGGACAAATCTTCCTCACCAAAAAACCAACCAACCAACAAATAAAGTCTATGGCCTCTGATCCCACAATTCCACTCTTGGGAACAAATCCCAAAGAAACATTTTGACAAGTGGGCAAAAATAAGTTTTCACAGTAATCAAAAACCTCCCCAAAAATAAAAGTCCAGGACCAAACAGCTTCTGTGCAGAATTCTACCAAACATTCAAAGAAGATTTAATACTTATCTTTCTCAAACTATTCCAGAAAATTGAGGAAGATGGAGCACTTCCTAACACATTCTATGAAGCCAACATCACCCTGATCCCAAAACCAGACAAGGACAACACAAAGAAGGAAAACTACAGCCCAATATCACTGATGAAACACAGATGCAAAAATCCTCAACAAAAATCCAGCAAACCAAATACAGCAATACATTAAAAAGATCATACACTGTGATCAAGTGGGATTTATACCAGGGACACAGGGATGGTTTAACATCCACAAGTCAATCAATGTGATACACCACATTAACAAAATGAGAAACAAAAACCACATGTTCATCTCAATAGATGCAGAGAAAGCATTTGACAAGATCCAACATCCATTTATGATTAAAAAAACTCTCAATAAAATGGGTATAGAAGGAAAGTACCTCAACATAATAAAGGCTATATATGACAAACCCACAGCCAACATCATTCTCAATGGACAAAAACTGAAAGCCATCCCTCTGAGAACAGGAACAACACAAGAGTGTCCACTCTCACCACTCTTATTCGACACAGTACTGGAGGTTTTGGCCAGAGCAATTAGGCAGGAAAAAGAAATAAAAAGAATCCAAATAGGCAATGAAGAAGTGAAACTCTTGCTGTTTGCAGACGGCATGATCTTATATATAGAAAACCCCAAAGAACCCATTAGAAAACTATTAGAAATAATCAACAACTACAGCAAAGTTGCAGGGTATAAAATCAACATACATAAATCAGTAGCATTTCTATATGCTAACAATGAACTAACAGAAAAAGATCTCAAGAACTCAATCCCATTCACAATCGCAACAAAAAGAATAAAATACCTTGGGGTAAATTTAACCAAGGAAGTGAAAGACCTATACAATGAAAACTACAAGACTTTCCTGAAAGAAACTGATGACGACATAAAGAGATGGAAAGACATTCCATGCACATGGATTGGAAGAATAAACATAGTTAAAATGTCCATACTACCTAAAGCAATCTACAGATTCAATGCCATCCCAATCAGAATCCCAATGACATCCTTTACAGAAATAGAACAAAGAATCCTAAAATTCATATGGGGCAACAAAAGACCCCGAATTGCTAAAGCAATCCTGAGGAAAAAGAAGAAAGCTGGAGGCATCAAAATCCCTGACTTCAAAACATACTACAAAGCTACAGTAATCAAAACAGCATGGTACTGGTAAAAAACAGGTGCACAGATCAATGGGACAGAATTGAAAGCCCATAAATAAAACCACACATCCATGGACAGCTAATCTTCGACAAAGGAGCTGAGGGCATACAATGGAGAAAAGGAAGTCTCTTCAACAAATGGTGCTGGGAAAACTGGACAGCCACATGTAAAAGAATGAAAATTGACCATTCTTTTTCACCATTCACAAAAAGAAACTCAAAATGGATCAAAGACCTAAAGATACGACTTGAAACCATAAGGCTTCTAGAAGAAAACATAGGCAGTACACTCTTTGACATCAGTATCAAAAGGATCTTTTTGGACACCATGTCTTCTCAGAGAAGGGAAACAATAGAAAGATTAAACAAATGGGACCTCATGAGACTAAAGAGCTTCTTCAAGGCAAGGGGAAACAGGATTAGAACAAAAAAACAACCCAACAATTGGGAAAAAATATTTGCAAGTCATATATCCAAGAAAGGGTTAATCTCCATACTATATAAAGAACTCACACAACTCAACAACAAAAAATCAAACAACTCAATCAAAAACTGGGCAGGGAACATAGACAGACATTTCTCCAAAGAAAATACACGGATGGCCAATAGGCACATGAAAAGATGTTCATCATCACTGATCATCACAGAAACGCAAATCAAAACTACACTAAGCTATCACCTTATGCCCATTAGAAGGGCAAAAATAACCAAAACAAAAAGTGACAAATGTTGGAGAGGTTGTGGAGAAGAGGGAACCCTCATACACTGTTGGTGGGAATGCAAACTGGTGCAGCCACTATGGAAAACAGTATGGAGATTCCTCAAAAAATTAAAAATAGAAATACCATATGACCCACCCATCCCACTACTGGGTATCTATCCAAAGAACATGAAATCAGCAATTCCAAAAGTCCTATGCACCCCTATGTTCATTGCAGCATTATTTACAATAGCCAAGATGTGGAAGCAACCTAAGTGCCCATCAACAGATGATTGGATAAAGAAGATATGGTATATATATACAATACAATACTACTCAGCCATAAAAAAGGATAAAATCGTCCCATTCACAACAACATGGATGGACCTTGAGGGTATTATGTTAAGAGAAATAAGCCAGATAGAGAAAGACAATCTCTGTATGACTCCACTCATATCTGGAAGTTAAACATGTAGACAAAGAGAACAGATCAGTGGTTACCAGGGGAAAGGGGGTTAGGGGATGGGCACAAAGGGTGAAGTGGTGCACCTACAACATGACTGACAAACAATAACGTACAACTGAAATTTCACAAGGTTGTAAACTATCATGATCTCAATAAAAAGTAAAAAATACGTTTTCAAAAATGTTTACTGCAGCAATGTTTATAGCAATGACAAATTGAAACCAGAATATCCCAGATAGGGGCTTAAGTAAATATTTGCCCATACTGAATACCAGCCATTGAAAATAATGATGTAAATATTGATACTGGAATGCATTCCCAATATATTGGTAAATGAGGAAAGCAAGTTACAAAGTGCAGAGGGGGGAGGATTGTAAGTTTCCATAGGGGAAAGTACAGAAGGATACAGATGACAACATAAAAACCACTGGCTATTGGAATCTGGTGTAACTTAAATTTTTTTCCAGTTTTTCTACAATAAACGCATGGTATAATCTCCACAAGCTTTAGAATATGGGTTTAAAAAAAAAACCTCAATGTCTTCCCTTTTTACCAGTAGAGTCCTGCCCATACATTTATGACTTCTCAGCTGAGATAAGAAAAAAGTCTCCACCAAACACAGCCAAGCTGTGATGAATTTCCCAAACCGTATTGCGAACAGGCAAGAGAAGTCAAAATATAACGAATCTACGCCCTTTCAACCTATTTCTTCAAAGTCGTCTCTATCCAGGAAGCAGAGCACCGACAGGGCCTTGTTTGACGAGGACAGAGACAGTTCTCTTCCTTTTGGAGGGACTGCTGGAGTAGAGAAGTTAACGCACCGTACCAAGTTCGGACCCAAATCAAAGCTCTCCCATATGCACTGGCCATACGATTTTAAGCAAATTCCTTCTGTTTCAGTTTTCCCACCTGTGAAATTAGGGACATCCTACCGACCCTCACTGTAGACAGAGCAGTTGCAAGTATAAAGCTCTTAGAACAGTGCTTGGCTATGTTAAGTATTCAAGAGCACGGAATGGACCCCATAAAGATAATTCAAAGGACCATAAAATCCGTGTTCCTGTTATAATTTTTTTTTTTCAAACATGCTTCATTCCCGTCTCCAACACACAAAGAGAAAAGCAGAGACATAAACCCATAGCCTGAGCGAGAAGACACCAAACAGCAGATCAGAAGCGGCCTCAGGGCACAGAGCCCCGGGCACACGGGCCACGGCGCTCCAGGCTGGCGCGCGCGGCCAGCAGGCACCCCAGCCGCGAAGCCGAACGAAGAAGCCGAGGTCCCCGGGGAGCAAGGCGGGACGCGCCGCCCCGGCGGCACGTGCAAGTCAGCCAAGACCATCTTCCGGGGAAGCAAGCGTGGAAGAAGCTCTGGACTTCAGCACTGGGTCCCGTCTTCCCGGATCTTCAGAGCGACCTAGGTGTGCTCGGTCTTCCCCGAGCACGGCACGGGGTTTCCGAGGCGCCCGACCGGGCAAGAGCGAAGAAAACGAGGACGCATCGGAGCCAGAGAGGAGCGCGATGAAGAACCGCGGGGAAGCCGGGAGGGACCGCGGGAAACGGGGCTGGGGAACGGAGGCGAGGCAGCCGGTGGGGCGGTGGAAGCGGCTGCTCCGACCGAGGGGAGGGGCAGCGGGGACGCCGCACAGCGACGGTGCGAGGCCGCGGCGGCGGCGTTCCCCCTCGGCTGCTCTTCTTCCTGTCCCCATCTTTTCCATAAAGTAAGAGCAGTCATCTACCTCCCTGGCTGGGGCGAAGAAAGGGGGCTTTGGGAAGTGCTGAGGGCCAGAGGAGGCCGACAGTTCGGGATCTTTCCAGAATGATCCACACTCATGCCCCTACCTCCTCCCCGAAGCCCGGGACCCTGTTCCCGGGAGTGGGGGCAGGGAGCGCCCACGGCCCCCCGGCCGCCGTCACCCCGCAAAACCCGCGCGCTCCCAACGGCAGCCGCACGCGACCCGAGTGGCGGGGCGACTCCATCGCCGCCAGGGCGCTGCCATCTTTCTGCCGAGGTGACACGAGCCTCTGGCCCAGCGCCGCCACAGCCACGCTCACTCACGCGGAGGAGCCATCACGCCCTCACACGTGCGAGGCCCCGCCTCCGTCCGGACCGCCCGCGAGCAGGCGCGCGCCCTCATGGAGCGGAGGGAGTCGGCGGGACGCGCCCGGGAAAGGCGGGAAAGTGTCTGATTCGCTGAGAGTTTGCAAGCCGCCAGCTCTACCCCGTGGTGTCCTCCCTCCTCTGACCACATCCCAGGCTTCCCCTCAGGCACCTTTCGCCAAAAGGAACGACAACCCCGCTGCGGCTCTGGGTGTGGCTCTGGTTCACCGCCATCTCACTCCCAGCCCCCTCCTGCCGCCCCCGAGATGGGAAGGGGGAGGGGGGCCTGCGCCAAGCCGTGGGGGGGCGGAGCTCTGAAGGGGAAGGCGGGGATTATGGCGCAAGGACGGGGAGTGAGTGAGAGGGCGAGGCGGCTGGTCACGTGGGAGGCAGCGGTCAGAGGGCCAGGCAGAGTAAGGGTCGAGACACGCCCCTCTTGGGGAAGGGGCGGGCCCAGGGGATGGACTCCGCCCCCAGAGCGCGGAGGTGTGGGTGATAGGTGAGTGGCCACGTCGACCTCCACTCGCCCTGTTGGCTCCTGCGTCGTCGTCCCGGCAGGCCTGCCCGGCTGTCCACGGGTGTGGCCTTGAATTGATCTTGTGAGAAATCAAAGTTAAAAGCAGGATTTTCTGGCGCTCTCCCTGGCCCTAGTCAGAGAACTCCTGCCCTTTGAAGAAAGAGTCCAGAAGGATTCCTCACCTCTCCTCAGGCCAGCAGAACTTTTTCCCGCTAGAGAAAGCCTGGAATAGGGCCGATTTCTCGTGAGGCAGCACCCAGCAATGGGTGCATGAGCTGGGTCACGAAGGGAGAGTCCGTGCCTGCTCCAAGATGGAGAGAGCCTGTGTCAGCCAGCGACTGCCCTGCTTCCTCCAAAGGGTGATTGTGAGGATCTGGTGGGATACATTATACCGGAATTGCTTTGAAGACTAAAATATTGTCCATGTTCTTATCTCCTTTAAACTTCACAAATAGCACCAGAGAGCTTCAAACAAGGGGATGTTAACACCTTCTGGACTACTGTATTTCATCGAATTTGAGATGCTGTCAGTTATAAGATGCACCATTTTTAACTGTACACTAAGAAGAAAAGTTGGCAAATAAACTGGCATGTCATCAGTTGTAAGCTGTATTCTGATTTCAGAAACATATATATATATAAGTACAAGACTATAGAATAAATGAAATGCAATAGGAATGGTGTGAAGCAGAGGAAGGAGCACTGAGATCTGGTCCCCATCTTGCACTGGTTACTAAGTGTGCAACTTTGGACAAGACAGTTATCCTCTCTGGACTTCAGTTTCCCTATCTGTATGAAGGCATTGGACTAGAAGAACTCTTAGGTTTCTCTCAGCTGTGACATTTTAAGTTCACAAAACTGCTCTATCGCTCAAATCTTCTCACTTCTCTCCATCGTGGTGTGGCATTTCCACTCTAGTTCAGGCCCTCATCATTTTATTTGAATGACTCCAAGAACCTCCTGACTTACCTTGCTCCAGCCTTGAACCCCCACTGTTCATCTATACTGTGCACTCACCCTACAGAATATTGAGGTCCCAAACACAATTGCATATATGGTCATCACATTCAAATTCAGAGAAATAATGTACAAGTGAGAGGTGTGTTATTTGCTAGCTACAGAAGAGAGCAGGAACCTCAAGGAGAGGAAGGATTGCTTTAAGTTCAAAAAAGACAAGAGAGAAATGAATGCATTAAGTTTAAATTCTTAACTCTTATTCACTGTAAAATAGGCAGATCTCTAGGCAAGATGGGTCCACTGCTTTCATAGACTTGGTTTTTATGCCTTCTGGAAAGAAGAGGAAAAGCTACGAAAAATAAACATTGTTTTCCTTGAAAGAGACAGGCTACCCAGAGCACTGCATCCCTCAGGGTCAAGTGTGAGCTCCATCACTCATTCTGGATACAAAAGCCCAGGGAATAAGGACTGGGGTCCAACTTCATGCCAACTGAGGACAAGCTGACCTCACTAAATGTTTTCCATGTCTAATTTCTGTGGCCACTTCTTACCAAGATGGTCCCTGTCTCATCCTCTACACATGGGTGAGATGATGTAATAGCTGATTTGGCCAAAGAATGAGGAGTGCAAATAAGACACAGGCCAGACAGTTATTGTTCAAACAGCAATGTTTAGTTGTACAACACATAAAGTCTAGCAACATTTACACAACCAGTTTGAGTGTTGGCTTGTTTTCAACTGGGAAATTTAACCATAATGTCACCAAAAGGTTGGCTGGGACTGGTAACATTTAAGAAATGGGTCGTTCTTGCATCCCCTAGGCTTGGGCCTCTTGCTCCATCAGGACTTGTAGATGAATGGCCCACAAGTCACCAGCCTTTGAGCAAGTTGTGTCCAGGTGGAGATGGGGAGTGGGTGGGCAGGGAGGGGATTCCATAAAGACACAGTGTGTGGGGCAGTGGCAGCCGACATTCGCAAACATTCATGCATCTGATGGGGGCTTTGCCCTCCATTGGGTATTCTCCACTAGCCTACAGTGACCAACTGTGGCCAGGTAAATTCATTACTCACATTCACAGGGTGGAGGTGGGGGGTAGGAATAGTCAGGGTAGGTGGGAAGAGATCCCTCTTATTGCTAAGTGGACAGAAGGATGTTTTTCTTCCTAGAGTTCACATCTCATGGATTTCTGGAGTTTTTTTGTCTGTGTTTGGTTCTTTTTTTAAGTTTGAGGATAAGAAAGTTAACTCCAGAAATGTGTCTTCAGGAAAACCACTCTTCCTAAGTGGCTGCATTATGGCGTGGGGAGGGTGTGAAACCGCACTCTGGGCCAGCCACAAGTGGTGATTTTTAAAAATGGATCCTAGCCCTTGCTCCCCCACATCTGTAGTGACCCATCCTTACAGATAAGCTGTAAGCAATGAAGGAGACACCTTTGTCCCACATCGGGGCTCACACAGCTGACGTCCACAAATCTGACAAGCAGAAAAGTTGCTTTCTTGACCCTTTAAGAAAGCCAAGAGGAGCTCATGCAGATGAATGGATAGGGAGCAATGCCATTTCCCTTGGAGATGGCTACACGTAGCTGGTATGGGTTTGCAAGGGCAGAAGAAGCTCTTGATGAGTTCTTTCACCCTACAGATGGGCTGGGACCGGCTGACACAGACGATGGAGGAGGGCAGTGCTGGCAAGAACTCCCTTCCACTGGGAGAAGAGGGGTGGTTTGGATAAATGGAGGAAGCAACTGTCCTAAAGAGGCAGCTGGCCCCTCCCACCTACTGAGGGCTCAGAGGGGCTGAGGGGATGGGCTGAACAAGCACAGCACTAAAAAAGGCATGGCCCCGCAGCAATACAGCTGAGAGGAATGGAGGGAGAAGCAGCGCTTGAAATGGCCTTCATTCAGCAGTGGGGCAGGGGGTGGCTGGCACAGGTGGAAGGACAGTGCCCAGGAGGCCTTCTCCCTGCAGGGGGGTGGAGAACGGTTGAGGTGTGGAGACCAGCAGCTGGCAGCAGACATATAAAACAGCTTCTCCAGGGAGGCTGAGATCATGGCTTAGGGGCGCCCAGCATCATTCTCCTACTCAGCCTCTCCAACGCCCACCACCCCCACCCGAGACCTTCCCCACTAGTCCTAGGTGTCCAGTCCCATGCCTCCATACAGGACTGCTCCCTGTATAAGCCAAGGGATCCTGCAGAAAGGTAGCAACCTCTGGGCTCTAACCCCGCTGCTGTTCTGCGCTGACAGGTGCCTACCCTGGAATAACTTTGTGGGGGAGGCAGGAGGAACTTGGTAAAGAGCTTCCAGGAAAGACTGAGACCATAGGTTTGGGGTCACTGGCAATCTGATCACTCACCTCTTTCTCCTGGTCTAGTGAATCTTGGTCTTCAGTCTAGTGTTTTCCTAGCACCTGAGTGATAAGGGACTATAAATGCTGGGATTTGTAGAGGACCATTAAAACACCTAAGGTTGGACCAGGAGATAGGACAGGAGGTTGTATGAGGTTATTGTAAACTGTTATCACTTGGTGTTTTCCCTTGCCTAAGAGCAAATTGTTTCTCCAGCCCCAGATTTCAGCCACTTTACAAACTAGAAGAGAAAGAGTAACCTTTGTAAAATAAACAGGGGATATATATGCATTAATAAATACAGGGCTGAAGGGAAAGGCAAGAAGAGTCTAAATGTTTGATTGTGGGTGTCGTTGGGAATGTCTACAGGAGTCAGGAGGAGGAATTGGGGAAAAGCAGAGACAGACAGACAGACAAAAATGTAGTTAGCTTCAGCACAAGAGTGAGAGAGAACAGAATGGAAGGAAAGAGGGGGTCAAGTATGGATGAGAAGAAGGGAGCAACAGAGAAGCCAGCTTTAAGGAGGAAGAATCCTGATGGAGAAAAGGGAGGTGTCATTTAAAATTTGTCTCTGAAGCCAAACCACCAAGAAAGATAAATACTGTATATAGTTCTTGATACTTCTTTAGACTCAGTTCTTCTAGAACTTAATGCCTAAAAAGAGGGTTGTCTCACTTGACCAGCAAGCGTGCTGCCTTAACTGAACACTGGGAACCACATACCTCGCAGTGTTTCCTCCTTTGCCTGGGCTGCCCACAAGCTCAGGGCCAATTTCAGCGATCGACAGAAGGAACTTTCCTGCCCATTCCTCTCTATCCTCCTGTAGTCTCACAATCTCAGTTTGCACTGTCCTATGCTTTCAGCTGTGATTTTATTTTAAGGTGACCTAAGTCATTTTTGGAAGTAGACTGGGCATCAATCCTACATAGAGAAACGTAGCTAAAGTGGATTAGTCTACAAGGAAGTGAAGGAAGTCCAGACATGGGCAGGATGAAGAAAGGAGGGGAAGGGGAAAAGAAAGAAAGTGGGAGCAGAGGCAAGTGAGGCAAAGTGAATGTGGAAGGCAGCAGTCTGTGACAGCGACAGGTGGTAGCTTTTGGACAGTGAAGGCAACACAGACTGAAGGGTGGAGCTCTCTTCTCCACTTCCACACACTAGTTCTTTCTGCAGGAGCCCAGCTCCGGCCTACCGCTCTGCTCTTCCCTGACCTTCCTTTTCCCAGGAAGTCCCAGCCTTACCCCAGACCACCCCGGGCTGACAGGGAGGGTTAAGGCCCAACCTCCTCACCCCCATCCCAAGTCTAGCTCCGCAGCCTGTCCTTGGAGCATCTCCACAGTCCCAGGCTGTGGGCGGGTTCAGAGAAAAGAAAGAGTTACCTGGGGCTCACCTGCTCCCATCATTTTTAAATGAAACCTCCCCCAGACCTCTTGAGTGAGGCACACGGCTTTGTTCTGGGACACAAGGAAAGGAGACAGATAATGGACAGCCATGGAGGAACCAAACTTACAAGGGACTTTCCAGGGAGGGCACTGAAAATACCTCAGCCCTGCGCACACACACACAGAGGTACACTCTCTCCCTCTCTCTCTCTCTCTCTCACACACACACACACACACACTGTAGACAAGATGCTCCACAAATACCAGACAGGCCTGTGGGACAGAGTAGAAAGGAAGAAGGTGGTTGGTGGTGGTATTTGGGATGTGTGTGTGCGGAGAAGTGGGTATGTGTGATGATACAGAGAAAGGGTCATCATGGGTTACTGTCGTGGCTTTCCTCTGTGTCCACGCTCACCGGAGGGAGGCCTCCGTTGTCATTGAGCCGCTTGGCCCTGTACGTCTCATAGTGGATGTTATGTGTCACTTCCTTGAGGTCCTGGAGGTGGGTCCTGAAGGACACAGGGTGAGAAGAGAGAGGGATGCGATTAGGGTTCGGGGGAGGAAGAGGTGACCACATCTGAGGTTAGTACATCGCTCCCATGGCCTGGACCCAATCACTGGGACCTACTCTAGAGAGCCCATGATACTTCTCAGCCCCTTTTGCTTCATGATGGGAGCTGGAACTGGGGCAGAAAGTTCTATCAGAGAGACCTGGAGACTGAGGAAGTGGATCTAAACTAACAGCCTCCTGACCCCAAATAATAAACCTGCCATCTGTGGGAGGAGTGCATCTTACCTGATGACAAAGTCTCGAAGCAGGGCAAACTCACAGTGGTTGAGGTTTTCCACTGTGAACAAAACAAAACAGGTAGCCATTTCACTAACACAGCAACGCCCAGCAGGCGAACATCTGTTCAGGTCATGCAGGCGTTTAGGAGAGAGCCACAGACTGGTTGCTGTGATGCCTCTAGAGGTTTGCTCATCTGGGCACTTCAGTGCATAGGATTTTATTCATTGGACAAATATTTATTAAGCAGCTACAATGGCATAATACCATTCTAGACTCTGTGGAATAATAGCTAATAGGACTATTATATTTCCCATTTTATAGAAAAGGAACCTAATACACAGAGAAACAGAGAAACTAATACACTAAGAAACTTGCCCAAGGCCTAAAACACAATTCCTATCTTTAAGGAGCTTATAATCTGATTGGAAGACAATAACAAACATAGAAAATGACAATCAAACCATCTTATAAAAGTCACGTACCACATGATAAATCTAACTCAGCACAGATTGAGTGCCTACTATTTGCATATCACTTGCCAATGACTGTAGGAGCAGAAGAGGATTAAGACAAGAACTCCCTAGTCTCACAATCCAATGGGTAGGACAGACATTCTCATAAATAATTCCAATTCAAGGCAGACGATGAGAAAATGCTATTTTAAAAAAATACCAACAAAGGGTCACAGGAAAATGAGAGACGACATGTGATAAATATGACAAATGTGATACAATGGGATGAACTTGGTTTTGGAATAAAAATATCTGGGTCTGAAATTCAAGTTTCACCACTAACAAGTCATGTGATCTTGGGCAAGATACTTAACCTGCCTGAGACTCAAGTGCCCCAGCGCTGATGCTCTGACAACAGTCACAGCTAGCCTGCTCCCTCGGAGGGTGAGCGTATTAATGAGCTCATTGAAGCGATTCTTTGAAAACTTGCAGAATCCTTATGACCTTCCCAAGGTCACATCCACTCATAATAAAACAAAAAAGGCAACATCTGAACAACCCTTCTGCAGTTAGTCAGATCACATCCCCTTTCATGTGAAAACCTTTCTCTGGTTTTTCCCGTCCTTATTAATCTCTCCATGTTCTGAACTCCTTTGACATGTGAGTCAGTGCCTCCCAGGCAGGTGCTAAATCGGTCTTTTATTGCTTCCTACCTGTAAGTCTCATCTTCTCCATTAGACAGTAAGCTCCTTACGGCAGGGTCTGGCTGGCATTCATTTTGATTCTTACAACCTAGGACAGTGCCTTGACCTATACATGCTTAATAAGTGAGCATAATTGACCAGCAGCCAGTTCTTCAAGAAGATGCACTGAATTACCTTCAATGATCCCCCAGGGAGTTTTTCTGCCAAGGACTCGTTTGCCATTCACTTGGTACTCCTTGTCACTTCCCACCACAGCGAAAGGCATGCTCTCCTGCTGGAGGGGGGCAGAAAGACAAGGGAGACACGTGTGCACATCATCCTCTTGCAATCTGGGCCTCCAGAGCATAATGGCATATGGTCCTAGGCTCCTAGCCTTGAACTGCACCCTTCTGATGCTCATTCACTGATCCCATTGATGGTAATGGCAAGGCTCTTGTCTCTTAAAAAGAGCACTGGACTGGAAGTCCGAAGTCCTGGGTCCAACCCTGATTGTACCCCTGCCCGGCTGGTTAACCTCAGTAAGTCAGCTTTCCTTCAACTGTAGAATGCTTCATACCTTTCACAGCTCTCTAACACAGGTTTGGTTTGATGTGGAACAACTCTGTGAGCTAGCTAAGATAGACAGACCTCTCTTAAGTGATACCCACCCAGGTGACAGCCAAAGTACTGATGCTTTACACTGTCTCCCATCACACCTGCTACCTGCATCCGCTGACCTCTCAGAGCTCGAAGGCCACTGTCCGATGTGCATAGGCTCCTCTGCTCCACCAGGTGGGCTGTATGTTCACCAAGAGCCTGCTGTTTGTCCCCAAATCTATTTGCCTGATGTGTACTTGTTATTGTAATTGGACAAATTAACTACTATATAAGCTAAGGATATATCAGTGTGGAGAGTTGTTTCTCTGCAAATGAAGTTGAATGTTTCAGAAAGACTTGATAAAGGTGAGTTGCTTTTGCATTAAAAGTGGAATTATGCTCAAAGAAGAGGGCTTGCCTCTATATGAAAATAACGTTTAATGAATGTGATATATGTTTTGTTATTTTAACTTAATAATTTCATGAATATTTATTTTAAAACATTTAAGATTTGTATGCATCATATTTTTAATGATTTCTTCACTTCAATTGATTTTTTTCAATTAACTGACCAACTACCTGTCTCAACCACATCAGATAAGGGGCTCCCACTAGATGACCACACGTAAGGAGGAGGAGACTCAAGAGCAAAGTGAGTGAGTGACTAGCCCCAGGTTGCAGCGGTCAGTAGCAAAGCCCAGCCTAGAGCTCAGGATTCTGATGGAGAATCCCAGAATTGTAGAAGTTGAGAACTGAGAGAGATCTTAGACATCACATAGGCCAATCAATGGTTTACAAGCCTTGAGATTCCCAGGAGATATCACAGGGGCTGCTGAGAAGGCAGGGCTCTGGGCCCTGTGTCACTTAGCCAAAGCAGCTCTGTTTTTGTGTTTTAGATACTAGAGTTCTGTCTGACATTTAATTTTTTAAAAAAGGTTCTTCTGAGGAAAAAAAAAAAAGCCTATAAGCTACTCACCTAGTCTGACTTCTGAATTTCATAAAGGGGGAAACTGAGGCAGAGTTCTGACTACAGCATAGATACCTCAGACCCCAGCCTGACACTTTTCCTGCCTGTGCCCTTCCATTACCCCCCATACTCTGGTTCTGCTTGGCCCTGTGAGGGAAGAAGAGGCTTTTGTGTGGTCTGGGGGTGGATGGCAGCATTGGCTTTCTGGGTGCAGGGTTCAGAGTGCTGGCCAGGGCACCTAGTCCTCATCCTCTCCCATCACTTCTGCTCTGGATCAGGCAAGTGAGGCAGGGAATACAGAAGGGGAAAAGTGGTTGGAAAGAGAAGCAGTACACGATACACATCCCAGGGGACCAAGGGGGCATCTGCGTGATAACAAGAGCCCCAGGCACCTACCCGGATTTTGTCATTCTCTGTTTTGTCCTCCAAATCCTCATCAAATTCCTTCTGGGGGTAGAATTCAATGCCATTTACTTCAAGCTCCTTGCGGACCTAGGGGCAGGGAGGAAAAGCAAGGTAGCCAAGTGTCAAGATAATGGGAGGGGGGGTGTGTGCGCACGCACTGAAGTCAGAGAGATGAATGCAGCCTTTGATAATCCCCAGTCATCTCTGAACTCTGAGGCCCTGGGCAGCAAGAACATGCTGAATAAAAGCAAGCCCCAGTCACACCATCACCACAGCCCAGCTTGAGATAGAGTGGGGGTGCAGGTTCCTCATCTCAAGGTCCGTAAGATTAGGATTTAGACAAACAGCACGAATTCTACATGGACAGTGCTCATGCTGCTGCATGTCACAGTCCTGTTTGCAGGGAAGCGAGCTGAGTCCCCTGACCCCAAGCCTCTCTGTCTGCCCTCTTTCAAAACTTGATTTAAGTCTCACCTCCTCCAAGAAGCCATCCAGGACCTCTTCAGTGGTCTACTTGATTGTAAGTTTCTTGAAGGCAGCAACTGTCTTTATACTTCTCTCGCATCCCCCCATCCCCATCCCCCATGCATCCAGCACCGGGCAGAGCTTATAGAAGATACCAATAAGGACTAGTGGGTTTGATTAATTAGTCTAGTCCTTCAACCTAACATTGAGGAGTGGTTTCTCACGTTCATGGTGATTTACGTATTCAGTGGTCTTCGCAGGTAAGTGCAGAGGGTGGAAAGAAGGCAGCCTGAGGCTGCACTAACTTCCCTTCCTCATGGTCCCCAGACACCACCAGCCCAGCCTCTTTAACAGTTAAGCAGGAGCTGAGTGGGAAGGGAGGGGAAGGTGAGGAGTACAATAATGGAGGATAGGAGATGGCTTGGACCGGAGGAGGGGAAGGAGGGATGGGCAGAGGAAAAGGAGGAGGGGGCCTTCTCACCCTTTGCTTGAATTCAGACTTCTCCTCCAGGGTCATGGTGTCAGCCTTAGCAATGACAGGGATGATGTTCACAACTTTGCTGAGGTGTTTCATGAACTCCAGATCGAGAGGTCGCAAGCTGGGGCCCAGAGAAGTCAGGGCATCAGAGCTACCTTGCCCTCCCCGACTCAGCCACTGCCACCACTCCAGGGCCACCCTTGGGACAGGAGGACTGGGCTGGGGACCTGGCCGAAGCCAAGAAGCTGCTCCCTCTCCTCTGAAACACACCCACCATCTATAGACCAGGCCCCAACTCTGCCCACACATGGTCCCCCATCTCCCTTTCTCTTCAAATCCTGCCCCCTTTTAAGCCCAACTCAAACCACTGCTTCACAACATCTTTTCTGACTTAGGGATTTCTTTCTCCTGGGAATGGCTCTGGACTGTCATCCCCACCCATATGTCCTTGTGTCATGGTTACTTGTGTGTGTCTTATTCAGCCCACAGGACAGCACTTCTTGACGGGCCTCCTCCCAGCCCCCAGTTACTCCTGCAGGTGTCCAGCTGGGGGCCTTGCCCCTTCTCCATCTGAGGGCCCAGCTCCCCCAGGGCTCTAGGCCCCAGTCTGGCTCTGGTTCAAAGTCCAGGGGACTCATTAAGTCAGGCTGCCTGATGCCTTGCTCTGACCTTGGGTCCAGGTTCTAGGGAGGGATAAAGCTAGCCTTTTTATTGAGTTCCTGGGCCCCACCTTCAATACCTGCTGAGTACCTGATTCCTCCAAAGTTTATGCCATCCTCTCAGGAACTGAACTCTGGCCCAGCGGCTGAGCTTAGTAATAAATTATAAGACCTCCCCCAATAGGAAGGTTGCCTGCTCCCCCACTTGCATCTCTCCATCCTCTGCTGGTGCTCCCTACCACACAGCCCCACTTGCTACTCACAACCAGAGTTCCCACCATGCCCACTTGTGGCCAACCTTCATCTCTAGATACCTGGCTCCACCTTCCAAATGCCCACAGCTGGGTCCAACACCCACCCCAAACACTAGCCAATCGAGTAGCCATGACCCTCCCCATTTCACCCTTCTTGCTGCCCCCCTACCCCAGCCTTGTGCAAAGCAGGTATCTATTGAATAAACGAGGAGCCCTCTGGTCACATACACCAACTTCTCGCTGCTGGCACAGTCAAGCTATGGTGCTGGAACACCAGTGGGCAGCACAGGGGCTGATGTTGGTCAGTTTTACTCTCCTAGCAAGAAAACCAGCCTTTCTTGGGGAAAGTCTGGGGAGTCCCAAGGTCCCAGGGCCGTGACTATATTGGGGCCCACCTGGCCCTCCCCAGCAGAGACCAGGTATTGATTATCCACTATAGAATGGGCACAGATGATGCAAACCAGAGGTAGGCCCAGCAATGAGGGTGGGACTGGTACATACGAGTGTCCTGTGGGGGAGATGAAGTAGAGGCAGCAGTGGACACGAGTGTCAGGAATGCGTTTCTTCCTCGCAATGTTCACCTCCTCCTTCAGGAACTTCTCATACTGTTCATTGATGTACTTCTCAATGGGTTCCCAGCTGGGGGGTGGGAAGAAAGCAGATGGATGTCCCAGAAGGACAGGGCCCTGGGAGCTCATCTTAGGCATGGTCAAGTAACAGTCCCCTCACATCCTTCTCATTTCCTACCTCCTCTGGTGGGTCTAGAGTATTTGCTGACCATTCTCCCTCTGCCCCCATGGATGACTTTCCTTGCAAGCAAGGCTAGAGTTCCCCGGGGGAACTGGCCCTCTGACTGGGCTATAGGAACCTGCAGAGCCTCACCCCATGCCAGAAAGCAACACACACTTTTGCCACCTCCATTACTTATTAGCTGGGAGGCTCTGGGGAAGTCTCTGCCCCTCTCTGAGACTGTTTTCTCATAAGTAAAATGGGACTAACCATAGGAGCTTGGAGGGATTCATGTAAGGATTAGAAAAAACAAATGTACTTATAGCAATGGCAGATAGGAAAGCCTCAGTCACGGCAACAATTCATTATTATCACGACTACTGTCATTGTTATTACCTTCCTCTATCAAGGGGGATGCATATAACCAGAGAAGAGGGCAACCAGTCACTTTTCTAAGATTATTCTAAGTTCAGTTGTTTGGTAGCCCTGCCTGTCTGTGGCGCACAGAGATACAAGTCTCCATCTCTATCTGGGAGCAAACTTCTGCCTGGAACCTTCCATCTCATTCTGAGCAGCTTATTCACCGCCTTCTTGGCTAGATGCTGACTGCAGCTTCGCTCTGTGGATTCCCAGAAGCTCTCTCCTCATGGAGACTCCCCTCACTCCTGTTTTTCACTCCTGCTCTCTTTGTCCAGGGTTATGACATCTGGGCCACAGGCCAAGCTCTCTGCCACAGCCTTCAGGTCAGCCTGGATTCACAACCCAGTTCCCCTGATTCTGTCTGCCCTGCCCTGCTGCCAACTGTGACAGATCTGCTGCCACCTCTACGCAATCCCTTGGTTGAAATTCCCTCCGCACTGTCCCCTCCATCCGGACACCTGGCCCCACTGGGCCTCTTCCCTTGTCTCCTTACAAACGCCCTCTCCCATCCTTTAGCAAATCTTCCCGCCTAACCCCTCAGGATGGAGGGCGCAGGTGGTCCTCAGTGTGAATGAATCTGCACCGCATTTGGTATCTTCCTGGCAGAGTCTTTAGGGCAGAAATCTCACAGGCAGACATATACCAGTTTTCATTGTTGATCTGGTCTCCAAAGCCCGGAGTGTCGATGACGGTCAGCTTCATTTTGACACCGCCTTCCTCTATCACTGGGGGATGAACAGAAAAGGCACCAGGGAGGTCACTCTTGCAGCTCATGCCAGGTACCCTGCCACCCACCACCCAGGGAGACCTAGGTTCCTTCCTTCTTCAGGACCAATTATTGGAAAAGTCAAGTTCAGGGTCTTCCCCACTTCAATACCTTTGTTCATGCTGTTGCCCGCACCTGGAACACCCACCCTGCTTTCTGCCCGTGTAAATCCCACCCATGCTTTACCATCGGGTTCAAGCCCCACTCCTTCCTTTCTAACTCCCCTCCCTCCCTTTTCTCAACTTGCACTTTCTCTAAGGACGTGGCTGTATAGAGTTTAGGGCTTCATTCTGTTCTGTCTTGAACTTGCCTGTCATTTGTCTCATTCCCCAGTAAGTCCCATTCTTTCCCCTTTCTGGCAGAGGCCCCTCTGCACAATGCCCATAGGGGTCCCTGCCTGGTCCTCACCGTGCCCGATAGCTTTGATCTCCACTGTCTTGGGAATCTTCTCCTCCCGGTTCCAGCTGGAGGCCTTGCGGCTCACTTGGGATTTAAAGAGCGTGTTGACCAGTGTTGACTTTCCCAGCCCACTCTGGCCTACAGAAAGGCAAGAGGAGGAGGAGAAGGCAGAGAGACCCCATGTCCACCTCCTGAGCCTAATATTTCTCCCCTGAGCTTACAGAATTCTAGGGCTGTGATCGAGGCTAATCCCTTGTTTGAGGGCTCACAGTGGGGAGGAGAGGCTGAGCTGGGAGAGCAGGAAGGTGGCAATGGTTTTCTGCTTCCTGCTTTCCTCCATGACTGATCACGGAGAAGGACTTGGGGAAATGTCAGTTGGATTTCACATTCTCTCCTTCCTGGAGCCTCAGGACCATTGAGAAAGCAGACAACCTCTGCATTTGTCTAGCGTAGCAGATTTTTGTCCTATTTTTGCTTGACTTAAGTTTTTGGTCTTTAATAATACTAAAAGTAATAACAATTACTTTGCATTCTGATACAACCTCATAGTGCATATGCACTTTCACATCTGTTAGCAAAATTTGCCTTGATATCAGTCCTGCAAATCCCATGGCAGACCTATCTTTATCCCCAGGTGAGGTGGTCCTAGAGAGAATAATCCCCGTCCAACATAAAATATGTGCAAGGTCACATAGGTAAATAACACATGACTAGGGACTTGAACCCAAGGAAGCTCTCGGCTCCATATCCACTCTTTATTCTAGTGTAGCGGTTAGTGTCCTGCAGAGATAAATGCCTGAGGGGGTACTGTGAGAGGAGGAGGAAGAAGCTGAGCAGGCAGGGCCAGCCCCTCACCTCCACTTCCTTCACGATGCCTCCCTTTTGACCTGTTTTACACATGCAGTTCTGCAGAAGATTTCATTCCACAGAGGAGTTCCACAGCTAAAAAGTGTTTGAAGACCACTGATCTGAGCAGTGCTTCTCAAACTTTACTGAACACAAAAATCACACGGGAGAGCCTTGCAACTGATGAGTGGCATCGACATCACCTGGACACTTGCAGGAAATGCAGGATCCCAGGCCCCACCCCAGCCCCATGACTGAGAATCTGCATTTTTAACAGGACTTCCAGACGAATCATACGGACAGTAAAGACCACGAAGCACTGGTCTAGAGCATTCCTGGGGTGTATTAAGAAAAGGACCAGGCTGGGGGACAGGAGCCTAAGGTTCCAGACCCAACTGTGCTGTTTCTCTGAAGGCCTTAGGACCAGCTGTATTTGCCCCTCTGGGCATTAGGTTCTTTACTGATAAGATGGCAGGGAAGGAGGAAACTGGATGAGATCAGGGAGGACAAATAAGGTGCATTTCTCATTCTAACTTATCAACTGGTAGTAGCCACCCAGACCAATATGTTAAAAAGGTTACAAATGGGCTCAGTACTGAATGTGTGCCATGATGGATCAGTGATGTCTGCCACAGGTACTGCTGGGGAGAGAAGTGGCCCACATGTCTTATGCTTGCCATTCTTGGTCTAGATGTTTTCTAAGGTCATTTTTCATTAAGTATTCTTGAGTGCCAAGTGCTGTGTTAGAATTGGAGGTAGTGGGGGCAGCAAGACATCCTCATCCTCAAGGAGCCATTTAGTGTGAGGCAGACCAAAACATAAGCAATTACGATATGTTATAATAACCACTATGAAAGAGATAACAGTATTATAACAGTGTAATGAAGGGAATCTAATCCAGTCTCTCTGGGATCAAGGAGGAGTTCTAGGAAGAAGCAATAAGCTGAAACCTGAAGAAGGACTTCAAATGACCCATGAGAAGCTGGATGGGAGTTCTAGATAGAGGAAACAGCATATGCTCTTTCCTACCCCTGGGGTAGGAAAGAGAATGGCAAATCCAGAAGAACTGTTCCTTATAAGTGTGGAGTAGAATGCTACATGGGAAGTGGTAGGAGATGCATGGAGAGGTAGGCCAGACTAGGAGTTTAAACCCTTAAACTTACTGAAGGATTTTAAGGAGGATGGGTGATTTGATGAGTTTTGCGGGTTAGAAGAATTATTTGGTCACTGAGGGACAATGGATTGAAAGGAAAAGGAGAGAGAGAACCAGGAGGGTCAGTGCCACTCAAACTGTGGCCCATGGCCCAGCTGTGAGGTCCAGGAACCATCAGCTACTGGTTCTTGAGATAAGAAGTTTGCACCAGAAAGTAAATCAACTATGCCACCAAGCACACTGTTTGGTTCAGATGATGTTTTTTATAGCAAGACTTTCCAGATGATTTACACTGTGGCCCAGCTCCTTATCTTTGAGCAGCACTGGGTCAGGTGGCCATGGCAATCCAGGTGAGAGACCTGGCTCAGTCTACGGTGGTAGCAGTGGAAATGAAGAGAGTGGACAGACTTGAGAGATACTTACAAGGTAAAATGGATAGGACTTGATGACTGGATTGGGGGATAAAGGAGAAAGAAAGAAGGATGACGCCCAGATCTCTGTTTCAGCAACTGAGTAAATCTCATTGAGATTGGGCAAAGCTCCTTTCTGGCTCTTACCTTCTGTGACCCAGTGACACTACTTAGTGACCAATCCATATCCTGGAAATGCTCTCTAAGCTTTAAAGTACTACAAAAGATCAGAAGTAAGACCATCCTTCATCTGATATTCAAGCTGTGATCCTGAAGCCACCTAGCTCTTGGAGGTGGGAAAGGACATTGATGACTCCCCCATGCTACACACCTGAAAGCAGGCTGAGCAGGGCTTAGAGGCTTCCTGTGTACACCCAGCTGGTGATGGGGCCAGGATGACCATCCACCCAAAGCTCCCATCCCTGGATCAGCTAGCCTTGAGGGGAGAAGTTCAGGCCTTTGTGATCAACACAATGAAATCTTCCCTGGGAAGAGCTCATCCTAGAGAAGCCAGGGCTGAGGCCATCCCAGGGAAAGAAATGGGATCCTCAGTGCTGCCCACCGCCAGGGCCTCCGGTGACCACCCCCGGCCTTCCATACCGACGACCATGATGTTGAAGTCGAAACCAGTCTTCATGGTCTTCTTGCGCATCTGCTCAATGATGGTGTCGATGCCAATGTAGCCCAGCAGGTTGGAGTTGATGCTTACGGGCTTCATGGGCACTGCTGGCTTAGGCCTGGGCTCAGGCACCAGCTCTGACATGGCTGCGTCCGTCCTGGTCTCTGGGAGCCCTGAAAAGCCAAGATGGGAGGAGTGGGCTGGAAGAAAGCAGAGGTCACATGCAAGCCACACTATTATTCTCTTGATACATAATCATACAGAGTTGGGACTGGAAGGGACCTTAGATGAAATCCAGTACAGGTCCCTCATTTCACAGATGAAGAGACTGAGGCCTAGAGAGGAAAGGACTTGCCTAAGAACACAAAGCAAGTCAGATGCACAATGTGGACCAGTGCCCAGATTCTCCAGTTGCTGGGGCACTTCAAATGCACCTCACTGCTCCAAAGCACCGTATCTGTGCGTCTGATCCAGGGGTTTCTCCACCTTGACACTATTGACTATTTTGGGTTGGATAACGATCGTGGGGGCTCACCTGTGCACTGCAGAATGTTTAGTGGCACCCCTGGCCTCTAGTAGATGCCAGTAGTAGCCTCCTAGTTGTGACAAACAAAAATATCTCCAGACAGTGCCAAATGTCACCTAGGGGCAACACTGCCCCAGTAGAGAACTACTGGTCTAAGAGATGTCTGGGGTTATTCCAACCTTAGTCCTGCCCCCCAAATAAAGAGAAAAGACCTTTTAGGATAGTGGACCTAACATCTATTGACTGTTTGCCACTTCCCTCAGTTGCTTTGTCTTTTAGAAGAAAATAGGGTTATCCCCACTCTACAGCGTGAGCACCACTCCTGTCTCCCAGCCTCAATGTCCCCTCTGTTCCATGAGCACTGCTGCAAAGTAGGGGTGCCTGTGCTCTGAGGAGCCCCAGACACCCTCCTAGCCATAGTTTTAAATCTATGGGAGGAATAAGTCTCCCCTTTTGACCAGGAGAGAGAGGATAAGGCCCAGATGGCAGCAGTCACTTGCCTAAGATGACATAGTGTATCTTGGGATGGTGGATGGCAGAAGAAAGGAGAGGCTGAAGGAAAGGCAAACATCCCTCTAGGTCTGGGAGATCATGGGTATGTTCACACACAAGAGAAACCTGTGTGATTCCTCATCAGGCCACTGCCCACCAGGATGAGTTTCCGGACAGAGCAACTCCATTTCTCCATCCATAAAATGGGTGTGTGTGGTGAAGTGGAAAGAGCCTGGCTCCACTTCTTGCCAGCTTTGTGGACTTGGGCGAACCACCTCCCCCCTCTGAGCCTGCCTCTTCATCTGTAAAACCGTTAGGATGGTGATTAAGGCTGTGACGAGCATTGCATGAGGTACAATGCCTAGCAGCACCCAGCACAGTGCCTCACAGTTCCACACCCTCTTGTCTCTGCCCCTTTCAAGTCCACTGGCTTGTCAGGAGGGGAAATGAAGCCATGCATATGAAAGCACTTGCGAGAGGGAGGTGCCCCAGATGCTAATTACACAGCATAGTTATTGGACTCCATGCTCTCTTGAGGACCCTTCCAGCTCAGCAATTCTAGAATCCTATGGTTCATGGTTACCGCCCTGCAGAGTCTCAGGCTTACAGAGAAGACTGATGGAGCGGCAGATGGGCAAGAGGGAGAGGGGACAGGAGTGCCTCCCTTTCCCACCCCCAAACCCAGCCAGGAGTCTGTTCTTGTACCCCCACCACCTGGTCCTTCCACCGATCCTGGCAAGACTCTCTCTCCCAATGGGAAACTGTTCTGCCCTTGTCACTCCCAGGCACAGCCAAATCTGACAAAGCCTCGGGATCTCCCCAGGGCCTGGCGTGGCTCCCTCCTGCTTCCCAGGAAGCTGTTGCCAGCCAGGCAGCTCCAGACGGTACCAAGATTGGCTCAGCCCTACAGCAGCTGACTCTCAGCAGCCTGGCCTACTCCTCCACTCTCCACACGTGGCTCCCAGGCCCCACTCAACACACCTGCAATGGGGGCCAGTCAATGCCCCATTTTCCCTGCCCAGCTGCTCACACGGCTGGCCCTTTCCATGGTCCCCATGCCGCTACAGCTGAGCCCATTTGGTCTCCACAACTTGTGTTGTCAGATAGATCCATCTATGTGTGCATTTGGCGGGTGATGAGGGGGAGGTGGGTGTCTTACCCCATTTTACAGCCCTAGAAAGAGAATCTTCTATTTATTCATGGGAGTTTTTGTAAATATTCTTATAAAATGTGTGTCCTCACCATGGTCTGCTCAGCCCTTGCCTGTCAACTACAGCATTCTAAAAGATCATTTCCAAAAGACAGACCCTGGTTGCGAGAAGCCGTCTGCCCACCAGATTCCCAGGCAACTTCTAGGAGCCATGGCAGGCCTGCTGCAGGTCCAGGACATGAGCAGATCTCTTTCATTCTTCCAGCAGGCACCTACTGGCACCCATGTGCACACTGTATAGAGCACCTGCTGGCAAGCTGCCCCTTCTAACCACATGCCAATTACATGCCAGTCACATGCTAACAACCGCCACCCATCAGCCAAAAGTCCTTCAAATGTGCAGCGGGTCACTCTTTCCCAGCCTTTGCTGAAAGACTCTTTACCCACTCCAGCCCTTGGCTAAGTCCTACTCTTCTTTACTGCTCAGCCCAAGTACCACCCCTCAGGAAAGCCTCTGCTTTCATGTCTGATGTGATGCCCCTCTCCTTTGCTGCCTTGGCCCCCTGAGTACATTAGTACTCATCATATATATTCATTCATTCATTCATTCACTTCATCCTATCCAGGCCATTTCATATGCTGTCAAATGGGAGCCTACTCCAGCCAAACCCTAACTGCCAAGGACAGTTTTGGACCCTAAACAAGGTCCTTGCCCCCAAGGGCCCACTGTCTGGTGAGGGTGCCTGACAAGTACACAAAGACCTCCAGGGCGCAGGACAAATGCTGCTCTGGAGTTGAATTGTGTAGCTCCATCCTCTGCCCCTACAGCTCCTCTGCTCCCACCACGCTGCCTTCAAATGGGCAGCTGACCCAGGCTTGACTGCTGGCTAGGTGACCCCTATGAGCCTCCGTTTTCTCCTCAGGAAAATGGGGATAGAACCTACCTTGCCGGGTTGCTGTGAAGGTGATCTAAGAGCATGGACGTAAATTACCTGGCATTGAACATATGCTAGTTTCCAGCCTTCTTCAGGGCAGGCGCCATGTCTCATTGATCCCTGAGCCCCAATGTACCTAGCATAACATGAGCACTCAACAATGAATGAACGAATGAATGCCTCACAGCAAGGCAGATGTCATTTTAGAACCATTACCTTTCTCCTCCCTCAGATGCTGTGCCCTTTGCATAGCAGCTGATCCCCAGCCAGCAAATGGCAATCGTATAGGCCACAGCTAAGGGGACAGACTCTGTTAAAAGACACCTTCTCCCTTCCCTGCAACAGGGATTGGAGGAGGGCTCCCCAAGTGTGGGGGAGAGCTCAGGATGGGGTCACAGCAGGATGTAGCTCAAGTATGCCATCCTGGCTAGAGGCTCCCAGCTCTCCCAGGGCTCCTGGAGAGGAGGCGATCTGTCTGCAGCATCCCCAGCCAGGAGCCACCTGCCCCATCAGTGCTCCAGGGAGAGGCATTGTCCACCTGACTCAGCTCTGGCTGAGTCCCCGACAGAAACAGGACCCCTCCATCCCCATGCCAAGCAAGGAGGACCACGGTGCTTTCTTTTACAGACAAATGAATGGCTTTGTCTTTGTCTGGCCCAGGGACCCCACCCCTCAGTTGGGAAGGTGGCAGCAGGGGGAGGGACCTTTCCAAAATAGCACCTGCCTCCTTGGCTTAGTGGGGGTGGGAGGATGGGGAGTCTTCTCCTTCCTAAGCCAGAGATCTTCCCCAGGCCCCAGCCCCTAGCAGCCTTTAAGACCCCGCCCCCACCCGCAAAGGCAATTCCAGTCCACCCAGCTCCAGCTCTGGCTCTCAGAAAAAGAATCACAAAAGATATCTTAGTCCTTTCCCATTCTCTGGAGCAAAGGGCCCTGGGACACCCCCTTCCCCCATCCCAGTCCTCCGGAGGCCAACGAGTTCCCTTGGAGACCACCAGCTGGTGTCTGTCTCGGTGTGCGCCTGTCTTGTGTGGGGGAGGGGTCTCCATGTCAGAGCACAGGTCTCTTGTCTGGCTGTAGGTGGCCCTGATACCTGTGCGTGGGGTACATGTGTGTGCTTCTTGGTGTCCTCCAGCATGGGGCTTTCTGTGCGCATCTGGGTCCATGCTTGTGTGTCCGTGGGTCTCTGTTTCTCCCCGCTTGCTCGTGTGTGCATCTCTCTGGGCATGTATATCTTGGAGTGTGTGCCACCGTGTGTGCGTGTGTCCGTGCCTATGTCACCGCGCGTGGGCTCCTCGGCGCAGCAACCCTCCCCCTGGTAGCACCTCCACCCGGGCTTTTCCGGGCCGCAGCCTCCTCCCGGCGGTCGGCGGTGGCCGGTGGCCGGGCCGGCGGCCCTACCTTTGGACATGAATCCTCCTTTGTCTCCGTTCCTCCGGGAAGATGCTCAGGGCTCGGGGCTGCAAGGCTGAGCCGGGCGCGGGCTCCTCCTGGGCCGAGCAGCCCCTGCAGCCGGGCCTCGCCCCTCCGCGCTCTCCGCCCACCCGCCCCGCCCGCGGCCGGGCCGCGCCGCCCCTGCGCCCCGCGCTGCCGCGCCTGCCCGGGACTTCCCTCGGCTCGCTCGGCGCCGCGCTGCCCCTGCCCGCGCGCACCGATGCCGCCGCCGCTGCCACCCGCACCACGTGACTCGCGCGCCCGCCGGCCCCGCCGAGGGCCCCTCCCCCGCCTGCGCCCGCGCCCGCGCCCGCACCCGCTCCCCGCCCGTCCGCACGCGGGAGCGGGCACCCGGTCTAGACTACGGGTGGCCGGTGTAGCGCGCGGGGGCGCTGTGCCTGCAGGCTCGGGATGCCGGGCGGGGAAAAGCGCTCGCATCCCAGTCCTGGTCCCTCCCCCTGGATCCCGCTCCCGGCCTCCTACCCTCTTGGCTGGGACGGAGCGGGGGTGGGGGGCGCAGGGGAACCGGTGGCAGCAGCGGGCGGCGGTGCGCGCGCGTGAGTCACGCGCTGGTTGGGATGTTGCGCTGGCTCAGCGCTGTCCTGCCCCGACGCGGGCGCCTGTAGAGCCCTGAGTCAGGGGCCCGGGTTCCAGGCCTGGCTCCGGAATGATGAGCCCTGTGACCTTGAGCTTGGTCAGGAACTTTCCTGAGCCTCAATTTACCCATCAGAAAAATCTTTCATGCATTCAGTCAACATTAATGGACAGCATGTTACCAGGCCCTGGGGGGACAGGGATGAGGATGACCATCCCTGTCCACAAAGGGGTCCAGGTCTAAAGGGAGAGACAGAAAGCTGGACTGTCCTAAAGCAGTGGGGTGGGGTAGGCACGGGGTACTGTGAGTGCAGGGAGGTGGGCTTCCTGGGAAGAGAGAGATTTCTGCAGATTTCTTGGGGGAAGTGAGGGACAAGAGGGACAGGCAAATGGAAGTGAGAGGGAAGAAGGAAAGGGCACTCTGTAGGGAGGGGGCAGCACAGGTGAGGTGACCCAGAGGTGAGAGCTGCGGGGTGTCGAGGGACAACTCAGAACTGCCAGTGCAGCTGAAGCAGGGAAAATTCCAGACAGGGATATAGAGCTAAGAGACTGGAGAAGTCCAAAGCCTTAGAAGCCAGGCTAACGACCTGGACTTTAAGGAAAGATAATGGTGAGTCACCAAAGACCGCTAAGCCAAAAGTGCTTCCATCAAATATGAGTCCCTGTGGCAGCTGTGTGGAGGAGGGAGAGCCCTGGGGGAGATGGGAGCAGGGGGGAGGTGGTGGAATCACTGGGCAGAGGGATGGAGAGAAGGGGACAGACAGCCAAGTACTGAGGAGGTAAATCCACAGAGTTGGAAATAGACTGGATGGGATGAGGAGCGAGAAAGATGAGGACGAGGATACCTGGGTTTCTGGTGTGGCAGTGCCTGCAGCTGAGAAAGGGAGATCAGGGAGGGCAGGAGTCAGTTCAGAGAGAAGGGCAGCCTCTGGACATGTCCAAGAGATGTCTGGGTGGAGAGTCCAGCAGGCATCTGCATTTCCAGAGGGAGGGCTGGGCTGAAGATGGAGGGAGAGCTGAGGTCGCAGAGGGAGGAGTGAAGACCCAAGTCTAGGTGAGCTTCCCCAGACAGTGTGCAGAGCACAAGGCAAAGGGGTCTGACAACCCAAGACCCAATTAAGGCATTGGGCCAGGTGCCTTCCAAGCATCTGCCAGATCCAGAATCTCTGAGCCTTTGAAATGTTGGGAATGAGGCTGCCCGAAGTAGAATTCCAAGACCTGAGTTCCCATTAGCTTACTGCCACCAACCAGCTGTGTGACTTTAGGCATGTCACAGCCTCTCTGAGACCAAATGAACTTGTAATCCTTGTGTTGACCCATTTATAGTTCTATGTAGGATTTCCATATATACAAGTTTCCAACTCACCTTTCAGGACTAAAGGACTGGAGGTATGGGACCAAGAAAGAGAATTCCAGGTGAGGTACCTTTTAAGCAACAGCTATTTTCCCAAAATGCTGAGTGTGCATGATTTAAAAAGTCGCAGGTGAGGTCACTACTGACATCCAGAAGAGGGCCACAGGGATGACTTTTAGACAAATCGCTTACTGAAGAGCTGGTCTGTGTTTTCATGTAGGTGGTTTGTTGCTAAAGCTGGACTGGGCTATAGATCGCCTGATTGTTCCAGCTCTTCAGGCAACAAAGAAACAGCCATGGAAGATACTAAAGGAAGGACTCAGCATAATTGCTCCTCCACAAGTCACCCCCATAAACCTTCCTTCTGGTGGCTTCCCTCAACCTGACCTCGACCTGGCAGGTTGGGACCCAGCTCAGGGTGCACCCCGTGTTCTATCCCTCAGCCCCGTTCCCTTTTCCTCCGGTGCATTTGACTCTGACCCTTAAGTTCCCCCTCCCTTTCCAACCTATCCAAGCATAATCCATCTCCAGACCATATCCCCCACCCCCACAGCAGGCCCATGCATCCCCAGCCAAGCTCTTTGCACTTACCTTTGATTTCTCTGGCCAGGTCCAGTGTGGAGGGCTCTGTGGCCCGGTCTGTGGCACCATCTTCTGTAGCATAGTCCAGGGCTGGGTCTATGCTTCTGCTTGGCATCAGTGGGTAGGTGGCTGATGTGGTCAGGTTAATGACACTATCCAGTGTGGTCCCCCCAGTGGCTGAGTCTTGGGTGACCGGCACAACCGAACCCATGGCTGTACCCCGCTTCCTTGTGTCGAGAGCAAGAGAATCCATAGTTCTGTCCGGTTTGGTTGTATTTGCTCTAGCCAAAGCCATGGCTGTGTCCGGCCTGGCTGTACCCGGCTTGACTGGGACTGGTGCTGCCAGATCCACAGTTGTGCCCTCCGTGGTTGCCTCTGGCTTGGCTGTGCATGCTGTAGCTATGACTTTTCCCAGCTTCTCTGGCTCTGGGGTTACCAAGTCCATGACTACGCCCAGCTCAGTTGTTTCTGCTGTAGTCAAGGCTATGGCTGTGCCCAGTTTGGTATCCAGAGCAGGGAACTCTGTACCTGTGTCCAGTCTGGATGTGTTTGATGTGGCCAAATTGATACCCAACCTAGGTCTGTTGGTGGCCATTGTAGCTAAATGTCTGGCTGTGCCTGGCTTCATTGTGTCCAGAGTAGGTAAATCCATGGCCATCACAGGCCCCATGGCAGAGGTGGCCCTTTGGAGATGCACCCGGGGTCTTGGGATACCCCTGGACCGGGACTTGCCTCTTCCTGGGGAACCTCTAGTAGGCATATGGGCAGTCACTGGGACAGGGTGCTTCTGACCCACTGAGCCTGACCCTGCAGGGCCCGGAGGATTCTGGGCTAACCGGGATTGGAACGGTAGGGCCAGGTAGGAACTCACCAGGGGCTTCTCCACTATGGGCATCCTGCTGGGTTTGGCCAGACCTGGGTTCCCTGGGCCCTCGGAGTGGACCCTGACCCCTGGCACCAGGGTCACAGATGGTGAGCCTGGAGTGGGCAGCCTCCCTCCTCCCTGAGTGGCAGCCTCCCTGCCTGAGGTGGGCAACTCTTCCCAGTGAGAGGGTAGGGGACCCAGGGACCATGCCTGGCTGTTCTGACGGAGCGTTAAGGAGATGGAGCTGAGCTTCCTGGGCACAAGGCTATTATCAGTGTCCTGTGGAGGCATACTCCGGGCCCTGGCTCCAAGGCCTGGTCGGCTGGAAGCCTGCGAGATGTGACTCTGGGGGAAGGCATCCAGACGGATGGTCTTCCTGAGGACAGGGATGAGCGGGGACACCCCTCCAGGGAGCTTTGTGGGGCGGGCAGGGCGCCCCAGCAGGTGGCTGCGAGAGAAGGAGTTTCCAGGGCTGGAAGCTCTGTGTGGCTGCATCTCAAAGTCGTGGTCCATCCAGGTCTTTCGTCTTCCCCTGAGGAATCAACAGAGAGAAGGGCCCGCGCAGGGGTGAGGTGCTCAGCTTGCATTTCTTTGAGTCCTAGTTCATAAAAAGCATGACAACGTCTTTACTAAGCAGAAAATTAATTTTTAGTTGTCAGTGTTTGCCAGGGTCTGGTAAAATAAGACATTATTTTAAAATGCATAATATGTAAATCATATGAAATGCTATAGAGTAATTGTTTTCTGTTTTCTGTTTTTTGTTTTCTTTGAGAAGGTTAGCCCTAAGCTAGCTGCTGCCAATCCTCCTCTTTTTGCTGAGGAAGACTGGCCCTGAGCTACATCCGTGCTCATCTTCTTCCACTTTCTATGTGGGACGCCTACTACAGCATGGCGTGCCAAGCAGTGCCATGTCTGCACCCAGGATCCGAACTGGCGAACCGCAGGCCGCCGAAGCAGAATGTGCACACTTAACCGCTGTACCAGTGGGTCGGCCCCAGTAATTGTTAATTAAAGCATAATTTATCATTTTAATATTATACAGCCACTAAGGTATGAAGTAGTTTTTAAAATTGAGGTTCACTTTATAATTTCAAAAATTGCTAAATATACATATATAAATTTCTAATACAAATATAATTTCTAAATATAATTTTTAACAATGACTTGTAATATATCAGGATATAAAATTGTGGGGTCCTCAATGGCTTGAGTTTTATATTAGTTATCAAAAACTCTAATGCCTAGAGGTGGAAAAAAAAAGCACTGCCAAGTCTGAAGGGGCCTTGTTTAGGGGACCCCAGAGGAGGGCGGTGGTTATTGGAAGCCTGTCTGCCGCTGTCTCTTCCAGAAGGGGCCAGAAGGCTCTGGGTTCCCACCCACAGCAACCAAAATAGGAGTTCAGGCATCCAGGTAGGAGGCTGAGGGATGACCGGTTTGGTTTAGGAACAGGGTCTGCATTTGGGGCTCCCACCCAGAACCAGGAAAGAGCGCTGGGCTGGCCTGCTGCTGGAGCCAGAATCAGAGCCAGAATCAGAGCCAGAATCAGAGCAGGAGCTGAAGAGGGCCCTGGAGAAGGTGAGGCTTGGGATATGGAGTGACGAGTGCTCGGAGGAGACTTGTCCAGTGAATGAGCCACATTCCCTGCCCCTGGGGAACCGGCCAGGCAGTGAAACAGGCAGGGCCACGCTGGAGGGCAGAGTTGTGGGAGAGCATTAGCTCAGTCTTTGGTTTCAAATGAGGGAATTTGGGCCTGGGGCTGGGGTAATTCGCCTGGCAGGCCCAAAAGTGAGGAAGCGTGGCATTCTTCTGAAAATCCACTGTGGGGCTCCTAGGCTGTATCGGGGATGAGGGGGAGACAAGGCCGCAGGTGCACTGGGGCCTAGGCCAGGCCACAATGGTGCTCAGGTGCTGGAAAATGACCTGGTTGGATCTGCAGGTGGGAATGGTCACTCCGGGGAAGAGTGACAGCAGGATAAGAGGGGCACGGAAGTGAAGCAAAGAGAGTGGTGAGGACGCTGTTGAAACACTCCGTGGACTGGGGTAGTCTTGGGAAAGGTGGCATAGCACTGGAGTAGATGCAATGGACTGCCTGGAGGAGGGGAGAGAAGCTGGTCGGGAACTCTGGCTGGTGGTCTGTGCAGGTGAGCCATTCCCGAGAGGGGCTCCAGGGGCACCAGATGACCAGCTGATGTGCACTCTGGGCTCCATATAACTTACCGGCTAGAAGAAAGTTGTTTCTGTTGCTTTCAACACAGCAGGCTGGGACATGATGCTTCGGGGCCCAAGCCACTGTTAGCGGGAAGGGATCATGGGAGAGGGGGGGATGACCCTATAGCCAGGTCCCTAAGGTCTGGAGCAGGGGATCTGTATCATCCCTCACAGTGCCGCCCCAGCCCCTCATCCCTCTCCAGCCACATACTTGTACCCAAGACTGTGCCAGCCTCCATCACCTCCCCACCTGGCATGTCCCTGCAGCCCTGACCTCCTGCCCTTATTCACAACCACACATCCCTGGGCAGACGCACATTTACCCTGCACTTAACCACAAACATCTACCCTCTATGTGCACACCCACACACAGAGAGCAGGCCAGAGGATAGGATTTCTGAGATCTGTTTATTCTAACGTCACCAAATCGCCATCCCCTCACTGAGCCTATACCCTCCATTGATGCCTTGGTCCTGTTCCTCCCTCCTACACACAAATACCCACCTACCTTCATCAGAGAACAAGAAAGATCCGGTAGTCCTCAGTCTGGGAAGCTGAGGCTGATGCAGGCCCCTCACCTCCTCTGTCCCCAGAGTCTGGCCACTGTGACCTGCTCAGGGTCCTCGTCCCTCTGGTCCCCTCATGGGCTTCCACGCAGCCTCCAAGCCACAATTCCCAGGCCTAGGGCCCAGCCCTCTCCTGACCTGTCCCACCAGCTACATCCCTGGCTGGGCTGGGCTCTGGGGCAGGGAGGGGCTGGCTTCTCAGCAGTGGGCGTCAGTGAATGGCTTCTCTGAGCCTCTGGAATCCTGAAGGGCCATGGGAGGCTTGTAACAACCCAGCTGGGCTGCCCTGGACTCAGGGGGTGGTGCCCTGCTGGCTGCCCTCCCCAAATCTGCTCTGTCCTCCACAGACTCTGACCCCTGGAGAGATGTCTCCAGTAAGAAGAGGGCTACTCTGAATATGGCCACACTGGCGGTCCCAGTGCCAACCTCACTTCTGCTTTCCCTCTGCATTGCCCCCATGCCCTGTGACCCCCAGGTCATCTTGCCCACCCACCTGAGGTCTTTCCTCAAGCAAGCGGGAGTCCCTAGGGGCTGAAGCAGGGGCTGTCTGCTGCAACGACTGTTCCCTGAGCCCCTGTCACTCCACGTGGACCCCATACTTTGGCCCTGAGGATGCGCAGATGACCCAGCCCTGCACCTGAGGACACCCAGAAGGCCACCCACCCTGGCTCTGGCATTGCGGGCTGGAGCCCTCTTGTCTGTTCCCACAGCACCCTGGGCTGCCTTTATCATAGCAATAGTAATAATAATGATGGTGACAGTGCTAGCTGCATTTACTGAACTCTTACTATGTGCTGGGCACTGTGCCAGGGCTGGGAAGGAGCTCGAAGTCTGCTCAGGAAGCTGAGTATGTAAACAGATCCTTACAGGAACTATAAGACATCAGTGACGGTAAACACATCCTTGGAGCACTCACCTGAGCCAGGAACTAGGCTGAGCATACTTCTGGCATCTCCTTTAATCTTCACCTCGTCACCTGCCTTTTGCTGGTGAGGACATCCAAGTCCACATGACGCTGTGTGGTCTGGTCTATTTTCCTGTGTGTTGCTCTTCTTAGCAAGTGAGCTTCTGGAGACACACTGGCCAATAGAATTTTCTGCGATAATGGAAATGTTCTATATTTGTGCTCCCCAATGCAACAGCCACTAGCACTCAAATGTGGCTACAGTACCAAGGAACTGAATTTTTTTTTATTTGATTTGATTTTAATTTGTGGCTGTCATATTAGACAGCATAATTCTAAAGGGCCTGGATTTTATTTTCTCTGGGTCCTAGGGCCTGGCAAGAATCAGCCTCATAAGTTTCTGTAGAATGAATGAATGAAATGCTTGAATGAATGGTGACTGTGTGGACGTGGGACTTTCTCTTCTTATCCAGCCTCTCCCCTTCAAGCTTTAAGTTTTCAAACTTGGCTGTGCTCTGGTTACCAGGGCAACCTGCTGGAAGTCCAGTGGATGGGGGAGGGGCACTGCCTGGAGTTCTTCCCCGTTCCCTCCCTGCTCTGAGGCCCAAGGACTAGCCCAACTTGAGGGAGAACAGAGCTGGCTGGGGGAGGGGACGGCACAGTTCTGCCTGGACAGACAGGGGAGGGGGAGCCTTTCCTGGCCACCCCCACTGGATCGCACTATCTCTGTGAGGAAGACACCTGAGCTGAAGTCAGGGGCCCTGGCTTCTCTCCCTACTTCGGCCAACAGTTCATTGTGCAACTTCTGTCAGACCACTTGCCCTTCTGGGCCTCGGTTGCCTTTTCAAATAGGGACCAGATGCCTTCATGTAGTCTCTTCTAGCTTGAAGATCTAGAATTCCTCCCTCTCACTCCCTGCCGGGCTGTTAGGGCCTCGAGAGCAAGGACTGAGTCTCCTTCATCTCCGTGCTCCCCCTGCGTATCTGCCCCGCTCTCTCCTCCCGTGTTGAGGGGCCTGGAGGACACCCCCTGCCCGGTAACTGCAGGCCTGAGTTCAGCTGCCCTCTCATGGCTGAAGGTGGCAATGACCTCCTCGTGTCTGTACACAAGTTTCTTTCCCACCAAATGAAAGACTGCCAGGCCTGGAAGTGGCTTCAGAGGACAGACCACCACCCAAGCCAAAAGTCATTGTGGTGGCCTCCCAGACAAGTGGCACAGGCTCTAGGGTCTCAAAAGTGGGTTTGTGACACCTGTGTGATTTTGAACAAGTCACAATCACACTGAGCTCCAGTTTCTTCATCTGTAAAATAGGGATTGTATCAGTCAGGATGGGTTAAATTATGCTGCAGTAACAAACAATTCCAAAATCCCAGCGGCTTATAACAACAAAGACTTACTTCTCATGCGTGTTTCATGGCCACTGTGGTTTGGGGCAGCCGAGGCTGTGCTCCATGTCTTCTTCACTCTGGGACCCAAGCTGAGGGAACAGCCACCTTGTGGAGCCTTGCTAGTCATTGCGGGAGAGGGAAGGAGAGAGGGGCATTGTGCACTAGCTATTAAATGCTTTGGCCTGGACTCACTTCTGATCACAACTCAATGGCAAGAACTAGTCTCGTGGCCCCACCCATCACAAGGAGACAGGGAGGAGCGACCCTGCCACGTGCGAGAGCTAAACAGCCCGAAGTATTTGGTGAACAGCACTGCAACCCACCTGCGTGGTTGTAAGAACGCAGTGAGAAGTGCAATGAGCTCAATCCTGTTAGCTGTTAACATTGTTGCCTTGTGATTCTGATTTCCATTTGTATTTACGCTCGTGATTTCCTGTGACTTCCACATCAATTCCAGCCATTTACAGCTGCAGATACAGAGAGGGAGATGGACTTGCCAAGGGTCACACAGTGAATCAGTAGCTGGACACCCAGTTCTCCAGGCTCCACATTCTGAGCTCCTCCCACCTTATGGGTTCTCTGTAAGTTGACTGACAGTGTGACAGTCTTTTCAGGGAGCCTGCAGCCTCTGCTTTTCTCCCAAAGCTGATCTCCCAGCCTTTCCAAGCCCTTCCAGCTCAGCCGGAGTGAGGGCTGAGGGGGTGGAACAATGAGAAGTCTGTGCCACCCTCCGGGGCCAGAGTCCGAACATTGCAGCCGTTCCTACGCAGGGAGCCTGCACATTCCCACCTCCTGTCCTCCAGTCCTGGGCTCAGCCCAGACACACCCACCATATGCTGACAGCTCCCAGACGGTGGGGAAGGAAAGCCCCCAGGACTCTGCAAAACCTCCCAAAGCGTTTTAATAGCCTGCACAACAGCTTGGCCCCCAGGAAGACTCTAAGCCTCTCTAAAATCTTAGTCTCCAGGCAGATGGGTAGACCCTGGCAAGACTTCCAAAGAGACTGGCCTCATTCATCCAACAAGCACGCTTTCTTGGAGGCCCTGCCCAGTGCCAGGCAGGCTACTGGCTGAGATGAGAAGACGCCATCACTGCCTTCCACAGACGTGTGAACAAAATCACAACACAAGATTAAGGCTGTAATTAAGCTGCTAGTGTGGTCAAGGAATGCTTCCTGGAGGAGGTGGCACCTGGGAGGACTCTCTCCCTGGTTCTCTCCCTGGACCTACGCCTTACTTGAAAAACCAGCTTCTGGTTGTTCAGTCTCCCCTCCCGCCACCTACTCACTGACGTTCTGTGCTTCAACACATGACACCACTCACAGTTCTCAGAAAGGCCTGGGTTCTCTCTATCTTCCATGGCTTTGCACTTGCTGGCTCCTCTTCCCTTTACAACGAAAACTCTTATTCATCCCTGAAAACCCAGTTCAGTAGTTGTATCCTCTGGGAAACCTTCCTTGACAAACCCTTGCCCCGGGAGGTAGGTACTTCTTCAGTTCCATTTTCTGTTTCTCACACATACTTCTCTTGCTGCAATTACAGTCTTGTAATTTGTCTCTTTACACATCCATTTGCTTCTCCAGTTTGTGAGCTCTTTGGGTTCAGGGGCAATTCCTCTGGATCTTTGCACTCTGGGTGGCAGAGCAGGCACATGCGTGCATCTGGAGGGCTCAGGAGGATAGCTGCATGAGGCACAGTGTTTCTTCTCCCCGTCTCCTTTGACATTGCCATGACCCAGTGAGGCAGGCGTGGCAGGAGTGCTGTGAAAACAGCCAGCTCTCTACAGAGGGCCTGACATGCACTGAGCACAGTGCCAGGCACCAGCAGGGGACATTTACCCGGGCTGTAATCATCTGTGATTCTCAGCGCCTGGCACACAGAAATGCTTGGTGAATTCAGTTGTGCATCTGAGAGCTAAGGAAACGTGCCCAAGAACGTGCAATTTAAATGAAGAGTTTTATACTCTGGTCAGGTCCTCTCAGTGCAGTCCTCTGGCATTCCCTGGCAGATGGAAAAATCCACCTCAGGGACACTGGCTCTGCCATCTGGGTCAACTCTCTCTTGTAAAAAATGCTGAGGATGCAATCTGTGTGTTGTTCTCAATATCTCATTTGAGACATTTCTTTTTAGTATTTAGAACCAGAAAATTTATTTTTCATGAAGAGTCAATCTCTCCTTTCTACCACATAAGAATAAAATGACCTCTTTGTGTTTCCCTTTTCCCTCTGAATGCTAGGAACCTCAGAGACAAGTAATAATATGACAACAGGACTCAGAGTCAGAATATTTCCTTCCACCTCCATCTATGTGGCTCCTCTAGTTGAAACCGTCTTGGGTCCTTTATAGGAAAAGCAGGTGTAAATAAACACGTATGTAATACGCCCTGAGGAGAAGACTGGGAAAGGATCCAGGCTAAAGAGCGGAAGGCTTAGGCAAATCCCTTACCCTCTCTGAGACTCAGTCTCCTCCTCAGCAGCACAGGGTAGGAGGCGCTGCTGCAGACCTTGGAGAGAGGCAGCTCTCCTGTGAGGAGGACTGGCCACCGTTCAGGCTTGGGCAGGGTAGCAGTCAACGTCCTCTCTGGTGAGGCTGTGAAGCTGGTAACCCTGAACACATTCACACTTCAGACCCAGTGTGGCCAGAATTTTTATTTTTAAGTCAGAAAGAGGTTTTCATGTGAAATCTCCTAACACATAAATGTTGCCAATTAATTTGCATTTTTTCAAAACACCGCATTGGACAAACCAAACTTGGCTGCAGGCCAGATCTAGCCTGAGGCTCTCCTGGGCTCAGCCGATCAAGCCCAGCCCACCTCAAACAGGGTCTGTTTGGTGCGTTTAGGCTGAGAGTGGGGAACAGTTTACATCATTTCTTCTGAACCCTGCCTTCCCCCCACAACATCCCAAGAGAGCTATCTGGTTCTGAGATGAGCAAGCCCAAGCCATGTTGTTCCAGGTGGACCCTGACCCGAGCTGGACCATACACAGGGCCCTGCCCCAGGCTTGGGCAATTGGTTTAAAAAGGACAGCTGAGGGGCCGGCCCGGTGGCCGAGTGGTTAAGTTCATGCGCTCCACTTCAGTGGCCCAGGGTTCACCGGTTCAGAAGAGCGGCCCTGCTCCTTGAGGTGAGAGAAGGCAGCTCCCTGACTCCGGAGATGGGGCGTGTGCAAGCCTGAACCCTGGTCTAGGGTAAGGAGCCTGGTCCAAATCTCAGCCCACTGGCCTGTGGCCTCAGCAAATCCCTACAAAAATGAAACGGGAGCTGTCTCCATGCATTCTCCCCCTGTCAAGGAGATGGACTATTTAAATGGACCACAGCCACCCAGCTAGAAGCTATGCTTCCCAGCCTCCTTTGCAGCCAGGAGTAGCCATCTCAGTAAGTATTGACCAGTGGGATATAAGAGGAAGTAAGGGGTACAGCCATCGGAGAGTATCCCCAAGGGAGGGGCGGCCCCCTCCATCCTCCCTCCACCCTGCTACTCGGGATGCAGATGAGCCCTCTGGGGTCTGCCAGCCAGGGCAACATCCCAGGCACAGGGAAGCAGCCAGAGAGGAGCAACTCGAGACCCTGAACACTACTGCACCCGGCCACCAGACCAGCTCTTGACGCCTCCCCACAGACTGCACCATGAGAAAGAAAGGACATTCAGTTTGGTTTAAGGTCCTACTGTTTTGCCTCTCTGTGCCTAAATGTATATCCTAACTGGTTTTCTACCCAGGGATTCCAGTTAGCATCTTTGGTTATCCCAACACGAGGAGGGAGCAAGTGCTACTAGTTTCTAGTAGGTTGAGACCAGAGATGCTCAACATCCTACAAACGCACAGGACAGCCTCCTCCGAGAGGAATGATCGGGTCCCAAATGTCAGTAGGGCCGCTGTTGAGAAACTCTGCTCTGTGCTCTCTGGGCTTCAGTGTGCCCGCCCCTACAATGGGCAATATAGAGGTATCGTGTTTTTTATGAGGACCCAGTGAAGTGATCGACGTGATCTACTTTCAGGAAAGAAGACAGTCCTGCAAAGATAGTCATGAAGGATTTATTACTGCAATAAATTAAGATGGAAGCCCCAGAGGAGAGTGAGGCGGGCCAAAATTATCTCCAAAATGAGGCAATGGTGCTCCACACAGGAGGGGTCTCCAGGGTTGGGCTGGGGGCTTGAGGGGCCTGGCTCAGAGGGTGCTGAATTCTCGAGGCCCTGGATGTTCAGTGCAGGATCGGTGGGGGGCGGGGGGGGGGGGGGGGGGGGTTGGGGAGGACCGACCGCGCTAGGATGGACACCCCGAGGGGCTGGCCTCTCGGGCGGCCCCTCCGCTCTCCTTCACGCCCAGACCCGCGTTCGGGCCACAGCCGCGCGATCGGACACCCCAGCCTCCGCTACTTACACCTTCAGCTCGGAGGCGCAGTCCTCCTTGAGCATCGCATCGGCCAGCTGCTGCAGCAGAGCATCCTCCGTGCCCACCAGCTGCCCAGAGAGAGGAGGAGGCCGACTGATACTGGGCACCGCGGTCCCGCCCGAGGCCTGGGATCAGGCACCAGCCCAGGGCAGCCGCGACACCCAGGACTCTGGCTCCGGCTCCCGCCAGGCACGGGCTGACGCCTGAGGTCTGCACCCGCTCGGGGCCCGTCTGCCCAGCAAATTACTACCTTCCCGGACCCTCCC